AGAGTCATGTTGGACCTTGTTCTAACAAGATCCATTCTGAAAGAAAGAAGCAGAGGGAAGAGTGGAGGATGAGACCCCTCCCTAGAATCCTTTGCTTGTGGAACAGTGATCTTCCCATAGCCCCGACATCAGATTTGGTAACATGACTTGTTTTAGCCAATGGAATGTAAGCAGAAGTAACATGCCATATCAGAATAGATCCTTAAGTGCCATTGATTGGTTCTGCTTTGCTTCCATCCTTCTGCCATAAGGTTGGCATGTCTTAAATATGCTCTTTCAGTGTAAGCATGAGAAGGATCTAGAGGAAGGCCACATCTGACTCTCAGTAGATATTAAGAAAAGGAATTAGATGCTGTTGTAATGCACTGAAATTTAGAGATTGTTACCTCAGCAAAACTGAGTCCAAGCTGACTGATAGAGAGTGAACTTAGTTTCTAGTTTCCCAATTTCATTCACCTTTAAGTTTTTTGAGATCACCTAAAAATGGGTTTCTGTTTCTTACAACTAACTATCCCTAATAAAACTAAAAAAAAAAAAAATGACATTGTTTACAATGATTTTGTTAAACATTTATCATATAATGGGTTCCATCCTTCTCCATGCCACACACACAAACACACACACACACACACAAACACACGCACAAAAAAGTAAGTGTGAGAAATACAACTTAATATACTGATGGTAAGGATAATTTTTGCCTGTGTGTCTTTATTATTAATCAATAACAGATGGCTGTGATCATTCTTCTGTTACTTTATGAAAACTGTGATTTGATCTGAAGTTGCAATTAATAGTATCTTTTCATGGTATTTGTAGGAAGAACAATTTATGCTACTTCAAGGTGATAATATCTTGATTGGAGAACCTGAAAAAAACTGAGTCATATCAGTTTTCATTTAAGCTTTGTTACTGAAAAAAAAATACCTGTGTTTAATGTAGAAATGAATCTTAATGTAGTGTTCTTATTCCTTGAGCTTAATTCAACTGAGCATTCCCTCTGACCCTTGAGGATATGGATCACTCTTTTAGATCACCTTCCAGTGTGGCTTTGTACTCTGAAAGCAACAAGTAAGGCACCCTAAGTTGGGGGATGATATTTTCATGCAGGAATTGTTGACTAGTGAGACAAATATTATTTGACCCCAAAATGTACTCATGCCAGACTGAAACTGGTTACATAAACACTTCAATTATTTTTTTCAAATTACTTTCACAAATACAGTTTGAGCTCTTGACATCTGTGGGTAGGAAGCATAAAGAGGTTATGAGACTTGCTTAAAGCTATTCGTGAGTAAGTGGCAGCATCTATTCTGCAATCTGGATGGCATGTCATGTAGCTCTTTTGTTATGCCTCAATGCCAAGAGAACAATTTGCTTCTCTGTTACATTCTTCTTAATAGCTCTAAGAATGTTTACATTGAACATAGAATGTTCTGACTGTACTAGAAGTAAATTAAAAGGAAAAATTTAAAACATGAAAACATACTGTACATTTACCACAGGAACATCTAGATTATATTGTGTTCACTACTGATGCATAATTAACTGAATACCAATTTAATTTCATTAAATAACACACGTATTGCTCCTTGAATACTTGATAAGATGCCTCCATATTATAAACAGATAGTTTTCCAGAATACTTCGAAAATGAAAGCATAACAATAGATGGTTTATGTCAAAATGTTGTTTAAATTGCAAACCTTCATTAAAAACAAGAAGGCAAGGGAGAAATAGCATTTGAGATAAGATTCAGAATGAAAATCCAGTGCTTAGGATAGAAAGGAAAAGGAAATCTTTATTCAATTACACAAAAACAAAAAAGGCTATAAATATACTATTGATTCAGTGATTGATAAAACATACCAGGAATTCAGAATGATGTTAGATTTAGGAATATGAATTGCTAGATTTACAAGCAATATTTATGGTTCTAATTGCCTATTTGAGACTATCAAATCATTTTGATATAGCATTTCTTTATAAAAATCAAGGTTGGTAAAGGAATACAGTGAGTGCTGATACCAAATGAAAATTATCAGGTATTTATTTATCTTATAAGGCCCCTTCACGAAGTTTTTGTATAGGGTTTGAAGGCCAGATATATCTAAAAAGTATTTTAATTTGGTCAATTGAGAACTAATAAATTTCCACTGTTGTTTTTAAAACCACTTAATAAATAAACTTCAGCCATTTTGTCTTGAATATGAAAGATAATGGTTTAGTGTCCGAGAGAAACTGTTGTTCACAGGATTTTCATTATTACTAGAAATGACTAATATAGTAGATTAGTGAAAAAATTAAGGTCTAGAAATAACCTGTGTTGATAATTATTTGCCCAAATTTGGGAGAACTACTGGCATAATTCTTTGTTTATGTTTTGAAGGGCTTAGGAATTCTGGCTCATTAGCTTTTGTGGGATACAGGTTTCATTCACTTGAAAGTACGAGAAAATGAAATAACCTAACTAAGGAGATAAAGTAGCAGAGTAATGTTTGTTGTTCATGTGACAGGTGATAACTGAACGTTAAAATCTGTCACTTTTGCCTTATTTTTTCTTGGAAGTTTAATAATCCTGAGATTGAGTGAACAAAACTTATACCTATTTACTATTTTGGAACTTTGTGTAAGAGATTAGAGAAGAAATGTTCTATTTATTTTTTAATGACCCAGCACTCCCTTCCTAACCTACTATGTCATATGTCAAGGGTTTTAAAATTGTTCTTTTCTAACAGACATCAAATTTCAATCCAGTTTGCACCACAGTATCTATCATTAAACAAATGATTTAACATTCCAAATCTATATGGGGTTTGACAGAAACTTGATGTTTCTTTTGGCATAAATGGACAAATTAAGACTTTTCTTCACAGAAAAGTAATGTAGTTTGGCCATCCTAATTAGTGTGTGGCTCTAAGTTCTTCTTTCAGACAGGATGATTAATTTCTTAGTTCCAAGGAGAGTTTTGTAGGGCAACTCAACACAGACTGTAGTTAGCACCTTAAGAGTGAAATAATATGAAGAAAAAATCAGTCATTAACTAGTTTTGGAAACTTAAAATTAAATATAATTAAAATATTTTTAATTGAAGTGTTTAATAAATATTGGGGTGTGCCTAGTGAAGCTTAAATTTATGCTGAGTTACATCTCCATCAGACAAATATGATTTAATAGGTTATAGGTAAGAATACAAATGATGGTAACAAAACGATTAAAACACAAAGGACTCTCAATACTGAGTTAAGAAAACCTCCCTGTTTCCTGAAAAAGTGATACTTTTTTCTTGCTGTAATAAAATATCACTGACTTCTCTCAAAAGCCAGCCTTTCTAGCCTCTAGAGAATGCTTGGAAGCTGAATGGGGGCATTAACTGAGACCTGAACACCATCATTTTTACTGTTCTGCCTCACCCTTGGGTCTGAAACTCCATGATGTGTATAAAATATCCCTGCAATAATTCTGAACCCCTGTTCTACCCTTCACACCCCTAACTAAATGGATTATTTGAAATAAAAATGTCAATTTTTGCACGTTTACTCAAGAGTGGTTTCCTTCCTTCTAAGTAGTGTAGGGATAATATTATCAAGATCTCTTTCCTCATGAGGCTTATCTTCCTGCAGTGGAGGAGGGGAGGAAGCAATAGATAAATACAAAAGTGATATAATTCAAATACATAGCACACCAGATTGTGATAAGTACTACTAAGAAAATTAAAGTGGGAAGAAACTAAGGTGTGTCTGAGATGGACAGCAGCCACTGTAGTCAGGAACGTCTCATGGCAAAGGTGACATCTGAACAAAGATCTGAAGGACACAAGAGAGTGAGTCATTGGGATGTAGGGTATTGGGGGTAGATCACACCAGGTGCCTGGTATTGGTGGAGGACCTGCAAGAAGGACTGAAACAGAGGGAATAAGTGGGAGAAAATGAGACCCACTAGGCAGAAGAGGAGCAGGTTATGAAGGTTTGGCGAACCTTTCTAAGAATCCTCCAAGAATGTGGGAAACAATTGGAGGACTTGAGCAGAGGAGTGGCCTGACCTAACTTGTACTTAAACCACTCTTCTTGAAGCTAGTTTTGGTGGATGCCAAAAGGATCAAAAGCTATCAAAAGGATAATCCAATAACAGGTGTCTCAAAAGTTTGCACAGACAACTGCTGAAAGCAGAAAAGGGCTGAATTCTGGAGAAGTGGGTGTGGATGGGAGAAGTGGTTGGGAGAAGGGCTTACCGTAATTGATAAACCTGCCTAGCTTTTAGGTCGAAACTAAGCTCCTCCAGTCCTTAGGCCTCAGGTCCATTCCTATAGCGTGAGAACCACAGCCTTAAAGTCGTGTTACCATGGCAACCAGAGGATTGTTTTCCTTCCCCACCCCACCCCCCTCGGCTTTGGACTTGGAACTCTGCCTCCAGAACTCAAGGTACCCTGACCTGCAATTCCTCCAGCTGGGGAGCAGGGTCTGGGCCCGCGCTGACCTATTAGTATTCAACCGGCGACGTCTTCCGCAACCCAGCTGATGCCCTTTCTCTCCAGCAGCTCCAGCCTCACTCCACCCTCACCACCCAGCCGCGCCATCTCCTCCCCGGGGACCGCGTCCGGAGCCGCGCAGCCGGTTCTAGCCTGGAAAGTGCCTGGTGGCCCTGAGCTCTGGCGTGGTTCTGTGCAATTACGCAACGCTTTTCTGTAAGTTAGCCGCGGCCGCAGGCTACACAACCGCAGCAAGGAAGTGAGCCAGCGCCTGGCTCGCAGGCAGCGCGCCACGGAAGACCCAACGTAAGGCAACCCAGACACTCTCTGGGGACATTCAACTCTCCTGTGCGCCCTTTAAGGTTCCCCTGCGCTTCCTGCAATGCACCAGACGGGGGAAGCAGATATAGGAGGCACCTGCATTGCGCCCCTGCTGGGATGCACTGTGCGCAAAAGAGAAGGGACCATGTCTGCTGTAAAATCCCAGGATTCGAGGCGCCAGTAGTTACAGACGGGTTTTCTTAGGACTCACCTTGTGCAGTTTCCACATGGCCCCCAGAGCCTTGACTTCATGGCTGGAGTGTTTGCCCTCCTCTAGGCACTGGTAGCACACAGGCATCTTGCACTGCACGCAGTACATGCTGTGGTTCTCCAGCTCGTGGTCTGTGCAGGTGGAGACCTTCCGGGGGCTCAGCCTCCGGCTCACGCGGCCCTGGGCCGGGGGCACCAGACGGTGCTTGGCTAGGGGTCCCCGGGGTGGGTGGCAGCGCAGGCGGCACGGGTCGCAGTAGAAGACATCGCACTGTTCGCACATGACGGTGGCCTCCTTGGGTGCCTTCTCGCAAAGCTGGCACTTAAGGGCCGCGGCTTTGCTCTGCTGGTAGCGGTCAATGACTCCCTCCAGAACGCGGTTCTTCGGGAAGCCGCGCAGCCCTCGGTCATCCAGGATGAGGCTGCGGTGACACTGGGGACAGGTGATACAGGAGTTGCGGGGCACCGGGGCCAAGGCCGGGGACAGGTGGGTGGCCGGTGGCGGCATAGCCGGGGGAAACACACGGACGCCGTTGGGAGACTTCTGGCACGGGGTGGTGGGCGCGCTGGCGAACCCCCCGTAGGAGCCGTAGCCGCTGTCCGCCTCGCTGTACAGGCTCATCTTGTCCAGGTCCAGGTAGTCATAGTCGGAGACCCCGGAGCCCGAGGCCCGGCGGCTCTGGGGGGACTCTGACTCCGGGGTCTGCACCAGGATGTTGCGGGCGCACGCCTGGCATAAATTGTGAGAGCAGGGCAGGATGATGGGTTCCCGATAGAAGGAGCCGCACACCGGGCATTTTAACTCTTCTTCCATTTCTTCCATGGGGACCGGGCGGGGGCAAGGCAGCGGCAGCTGCAGCGGGAGCCTTCGCTGACGAGGTGGCCGGTCGGCCAGTCGTGGCCAGCACCTTGGCCAGCGGCAGCGGCGTCGGCGGCGGAGGCAGCTTCCCGCGTCGCCGGGGCGCGATTTCCAGCCGCGCGCTCTCCCCGAGCCTCAAACCCGCGGCGCCGCGCGCCAGCCCGGAACCGCCCCCTCCTGCCCCCTTTCTCCCGCCCCTCGCCTGTAGGCAGACGCTCATTGGACGGCGGGCGAGAGAGCAGCGCTCTCATTGGCCACGGGCCCGTCCTTCTCTTTTCCTCCGCAGGCCCCGGCGGGTTTGGCGGCGCTCTCTGAGGCGAGGCGAAGGGGAGGCGTCGCTCCCGGCGGCCGGGTTTCGGGAGGGGGCAGGCGCGCGCAGGCGAGGGGGCCGGGAAGGAGGACTGAGGCGGGATGACTCACTCCTCGCCCCGCTTCCTTCCGACCTCCGGCGCAGTCACCGGGAGCGGGGGGCGTGAGAAAGCCCTCCCCGCGGCGAGGGGGCTGGCGCGGGGCGCTCGTGACGGAGCCTGCGTCTGGCATCCAGCTGGGGTCCCCCCGGCCCCCTGCGCTGGGGACGGGCCGCGCGGCGCGGAGACCCCCTTTTCTTGCCGCTGCTGGCTGCCTGGGCAGGCGCTTTACCAGGCCGAGGTTCATGGCAACCAGGCTTTTTGCGCGCGCCCCCCCAACCCCGAGCAACCGGCTGAAGCGCCCCCCATCACCCCGCCCCTGGCGCGCCCTCCTCCCGGGAGCCTGACCGCCTCGGGTGTGGGTCCTGCCGGGAGCCTCTTCGCCTCTTTCACCCTCAGTCCTGGCGCCTAAAAGGAGATGAATAACATGGATTTCCAGGTGTTGCCATGAGACCTACTGACTGATGAAAAAGCTCAGTATATACTTAAAAGCTATGCTCCCCTTCTTTTCACGCTTAAAATTCCAGGCTCGGCCCAGAGGCGTATAGGCTGTGGTGTGAGTGTGTTTCTATGCCCTCTTCAATCTCCATGCACCCCAGCTGTGCTGGCAGCACCTTCCCCACGGCTGGCAAGACCCTGGGCTCAGTGGAGGCTGGAATGCCAGAGTTTAGCAACTTAGCTCTGTGGATGAATCACTGTGCCACTGCTGAGTTTCAGTGTTTGACTCCAGTGTCAGGTGGCCTGAGCGCCCACCACAGCTTCCAGAATGGTGGGTTTTTTTCTGTTTCTTCCCTGTGAAGTGCGTGGGGATGATGGTGGTGCAGGTTGCGGTGGGGAGTGGGTCTAGTGATAGTCCTGAAATATTAAGCTTCCTTCTCCCTCTCTCGCCAAACATTGCTGGAGATACCTAGTTCTGTTCCTTGCTGCAGAACTGTTGATTTGGTGATGGAGGATCAAAAATGAAAAACAAAAAAATATTTGTGTCAAGTGATATGCTGAGGTAACATTTGAAATAGTACGTGGCTACCCTTTGCTGAGTGATTCATGAAGTGACAAAAATTCTAAGACATCTACCAACTTTCCATATTCTAAAAAAGAGACAACTTGATTCTCTGCAGCTACATTTATAATTTAAAGCTACAGCCCAGTGCATTTTATAAAAATGAACTTTTTATAACCCTGCCCCTGGATAAATAGTCCAATAAACTAGGTTATTTTCCTAATACTTTCAGTTACAATAAAACAGGAGTCAATCACTGTCCTGGGACAAAATGTTCTCTTTGTTATTTAAAGTAATGCTAAACACAAATGCCATGTGATTTATTTTTAACCTGACTTTTAGCAAGTTGAGTCCAGAGTGTCCAAAATTAAGGCAGATATATACTCTGTAAACACATGTAAGGAAGTGGAATCATTATCTATATCTGGAGGGTATATCTAATTTATAGTTCTCAAGAGAAGTTAATAACAAGTAGTTAATTAAAAAACTGTTAGAGTCAGTACCACTCATAATTTACAATCCTTTTTATGACTTGTATGTATTTGGTTGAAAGTCACAGTAGCCTTGGGGCAGGGTTTTGGATATTCCCAAGGTGAGCAGGTGTCAGTCCTTTTAGGAGTTTAAATTTTGCTCATCACAGTCACAATCTGCTATAGATTGGATGTCCTTAAAATTCATATTTTGAATTCCTAATCCTCAAAGTGAAGACATTAAACACCTCCTGAAGTTGGATCTTTTGGGAGGTGTTTAGGTCATGAGGGCAGAACCTTCATGAATGTGACTAAAGCCCTTGTAAGAGTAGCCTGAGAAAATGCCCTTGTGCCCTTGCACCGCATGAAGTTACGGTGAGATGACCATTTTCTATGAAGAACAGGTCCTTACTACATATCAAATCTGCTATCACCATGATTTTGTACTTCCCAGTTTGAACTAGAATTAAATAGCTAATTTTTTATAAGCTACCCAATCTGTGGCATTTTGCTATTTTAGCCTGAACAGATTAAGACACCATCTTCGACATCTGCCTATTAGCAGGAAACTTATGCTTAGTTCAAAGTAAAGAATAGTCTTAGGGATTATCTGAAGGTATAATTGTTGGTTTTACAAAGTGACTGATTATAATACAGACTTAGTCAATTTAATCTATTATAAAATATTTTGAAATGATTTAAGATTAAAATTGCTAGATGTATTTGGCCAGGAATTAGCTAAATCAGTTAATACCAGGTAAATTCTTAAAATGGGGCCTCCCCTGGTGGCGCAGCAGTTGAGCACTGGGTTGCGAAGCTGCCTGCAGCCTCTGCAGCGCCGGTTCGATCCCCGGCTGATCCCTGGCTGCTCCCCGGCCACCGGAGGAGGGTCCCGCATGGCACGCAGACCTCTCCTGCTGCCCGCTGCTCCCCTCAGCAGTGTACTTGGGTCCTTCTGCCTGCTCTGCTCCCTGCTCTGGCTCTGGTGAATTCTCTCACCCTCCCGTGCTTCTGACTGTACCCAATGCTTGTATGTATAAATAAATAAATAAAATAAAAATAAATAAATCTTAAAAAAAAAAAGAAAGACTGTTACATGGATAAAAGTATGAGTTAATAGAGTTTTTAAAAAAAATAAATAAATTCTTAAAATGACTGTCATTTGTTGAATATTCATCCTGTTCTAGGCATATCATTTATTTATTATATGCACTATCTAGATCAATACCTATAATAGCAAGAAATGGGTACAGTTATCTCCATTTACAGTTGGTTAAACTGAGGATAAGCAAAGTTAAGTAAAATATTCAAGGTAAATATTGGCTAGACTGGGATTTGAACCTAGGTACATCTAAGTTTGTTTCTTTGTTCAGTCATTTAATTAATTCATTCAACATATGCTTAATTTTACTCTCTGTCAGGCTCTGTGTGTGATAAATACAAAAAATGATTTTTGTTAACTTCTATGCTTTTCTGTTCATCTTCCCCTAAAGGTTCATTATTTTTCCTGAATTAATTTGTCCAAAATGTTTTTCTATACTTTTGAACATTTCCCACTCATGTTGTACTATTTGATCATCATACCCTTTAGATCCACTAAGTGAATTGTGTTTAGAGGGGTATAAAAACATGAATGTAATTGATGATATTATAGAAATACTATAGGGAATATCTCTTCTCGTCCAGTTGGTGATCAGCCTATGTCCTGAAGCTCAAGGATTGATAGTCCTGTAATTTCATCATTCCGGGGGTGAGTACAGATATTCTTATTTGTATAATGTGCAAAGTGTCTGGCTGTCCTCTGAAACATATTAAACTATTCACCCAAGTGATATCATTTGGCAATGAGTTGAACTGCCAGCCTTTTCATTTTTAAAAGGATAATTGCTTTTCAATGATAAAATTTGGTACTTTTCTATTTTGCTTTTTCACTACCATGCTTGATTACTAACACATCTTCTCTGATTCTAAATGATGAATTTAGAAGAAGGAATTCTCTTATTTCTCCCCACATTCCTTCTTAGAGACACCCATTCTTATTTGTAAGGGGAAAAGCAAAAAATGAAATGATTATAGGCTCTAACACTTTAAGATTTGTCTAATAGATGCAAGTATTCTCTATTTTCTTTGTTATTAAGGATACTGCAGATTGTGGATTATAAAAATTGTATTATTTGAAGATATTGATGTCCTATTTCAAAAGAATTCCTAAAGAAACTCCTTTTGGGGGGGATAATTTAATATTTGATTTTATATTTGCAATTTTGTTCCATTCTTTGGTAACTTCCATATTAATTGTTGATATCATTTTGTCTTTTAATTATACAACTAATGTAGTAAATTAAGTGTTTTGCTCATATAGTACTAATGGAAGATGACCTTATTTAAATTGTGTAGTGTTTCTAACTGTGAGTAACTTTGTTACTGATATTTTGGAAAGGGTGGGAGAGATAATCTGGAAAGATGGAGGTTTATAATAAATCCTGTGTTAAGGTAGAGTTGGATAAACCAGCACCAATTTGTGAATAATGGAGGGAGGAAGAAAAAAAGGCACAGATGGGGGAAAAACACAATTGAAAAGATTACTTTCTTGAACTAAAGAAATGTAAGAGATTAAAGATTGAAAGAATTTTAGAATTATAGATGACATTGATGAAAAAGACCCAGATACATACAAATACAATTCTTGAGCTCCAAGAAAAGAACATCTTAACCAGCCCCTAGACAATAAGAATTTAATTATAAAGAAATAATGAATCCAATTGGCATTGGACTTCTTTCTGCAGCCTAAAGGCAAGAAAAAAATGAATAAAATCTATAGTCTACTTAAATCAAAATACCACTTTTTGTCAGGTTAAAGAATTTGCAATTCAGAGAACATAGCACTCATCGTCCCTGTAAGAAAAATACTATAGAAAGACTTTTCAGCTGAACAATGACTGAATCTTAACAGAGTCCTCAAGATGGATAAGAAACAAGTGGGGAAGTAAAAGTATTCTGAGGATCCATTATTACTGGAGATGAGAATTAGAATATTTTGTTTTGAAATATTGTTTGGTATCATTTTTTCTCACATACTAGTAAATAAATATGTGTATTGTGAACCCTGGAAAAGGAAATATAACTACTAATATAATGGGAAGTACAATAGAACCCATAATT